AAAGACAGCGTCGATCGTAGAGGACGGGACTACACAGAGTAGGCTACGCGTAAACTGACATACAAATATTTGCTGAGAAAATTATAATAGGTAATATCGCATTCACTTTCCTGAAAATGTTATCGGTTTCTCCATAAACTGTCGTATTTCGAATAGGAATTGTTTGAATAAAACACCAACTCAATTTTAAAACATTTTTATCGAAACTTAAACTGAATGTCTCGCGTAGTGAAGATGTGTTTAACATTGTTGGTGATATTAGTTTATTTTGTGATGAAATCGGACGAAAATGGAACGGCAGAGTTATTGCCCTCAACATACGGTGGTCAAGATGTCAAACAGGGCAATTATACATACGTGGTCGCTTTGATAGAAGTATTCAGCGACGATAACAATCAAAATGATACTTTTGGCTTCTGCACAGGCTCGATGATAAAGGAACAGTGGGTGCTGACAGCCGCACATTGCATACACAAGAGATCTCTAGAAGAATTACACGTCTGGTATGGTTACTATAGCTCATCCCCTTTTATAACGAATACGTATACCAAAGTGGTGAAAACTATTGTACATCCGGTATACAAGTCGAGGGTTTTTTCTCTGGATTACGATATAGCTCTACTACTCGTGAAGCCGATTGCCTTGAGGACCTATGGAATCCTGTCAAAACTTGACTTCCAAACAATGAAGAATTTTCCAGTAAATGCTATCAGTGGGAAGAGAACAAACCATCATGGCGATCATTCGATGAGAATGCTGCGTTTCATTGGTATTGTTACTGATTGTGACATGGAATTGATGAAAACGTTAGAATATGCTTTGTGTGTCATGCCTCGACTCATGCAGAAGGGTGTTCGCATATGTTTTGGAGACTCAGGAGGGCCGGTGTTATACGAAGGGAAAATAGTCGGCGTATGTTCTTTTGCACTCGTAAATTTTTTCGTTTCTTTATCTGTTATGCTGCTCTCAGTAATGACTTCTTCAGGGCTTTTTTGTGGGTGCTCTGTTTCTTTAATTTGGCTTGTAGTCATCACTACATCTGGAGGTCGTTGAGAATTATCTTTGCCCTCCATAGCACTTGCAGTATGCAGTTCCTCAGGGGCTTGCCCTGGAATTTCAGCCCCATCAATGCCATTTGTAGTCTGCTTATTATGAAGAGCCTGTTGAGAGATTTCTTTTTCCTGGTTTTCGCTTGAAGCGTGCGTCTCTATAGGGGGTCTTTGAGAGTTTCCTGAATTTTCCATGTCATTTGAAGACATCATATTTTCTTCTAAGGATTGTTGAGGGTTTTCAGTGCTCGGTGTCGCTGAAGTTGATGCGCTGTGCTGCACTGGGGGCTCTTTTGTTCTAGAAGGTGGTTCCATGTAGCCCTTGGTTTAGGTAACAGTAGCCAGAACTAAACGCTCGCACTCACCAAAAGAAACTGCCGGACGCCTGCCCGCCGCGCAGGTCGATAAACGTACAGGCGCGCTCATTGATGTCTTGTATTCAATTTCAAATCAATTTGTTGTTATTTATTTATGATCAAATTTGAAAATAAGTAGAATATATTTATACATTAATTGATTAAGAAATATTTAAGTATCAGGCTTTCCATCTGCTCGTTTAATAACTAAGAGAAGCAATTTTTCAATATTTGATAAATGTTCATCAAATCTAAAGTTTGTTTCGAAGTCTTCCAATCAATAGAAACCTCATGAAATAATTACAATGACAACAAGAACGTAAAAAGTGTTTGATAATTATCAAGAAAGATAGTAAAAAAGATATGAGTTTTGTAGAATTCTAAAAAATAAGGGTAATAAACATCTGCTCATGTTTTCTAACATCGCTCAACCGGGGAATCGAACAATCCAATGCTCATCTCTGTTTTTACGAATAATATATACCAATACGAATAACATTATAATTTGGTGCTTGGCTAACAGCGATTATTTAATTGTACAAAATGTTAAACCTTTCATTTTTCAACGTGTCTAGCCTCAATCTTTGTAACGACACATTCAGCGCCAAACATTTGTGAATTGCTCAAACCGTTCCGTGGGAGATTGAACCCGACACGCTTTACTTACAGCAGCCAGTTGCCTAACCACTAGTCCAACCGTGCCGTCATCACAATATACTCAATGTTCACATTTTTCTACCTCGTTATTAAGAAGTAATTAAACAACATTCTTTCATATTCACAGAAAACTGTAATTATTTACAATTCAAAAAACACGCACTGAATGCGACAAGATTTCAAAGTTTTCAATCCATCGATTTTGTAACATAAATAAAATGATTGAATGATTTCAAAAATATATGTTCCGCTCCGTTCAAGCAAGAATACCCATGATGAATAAATACCTGGCAGCGACTTATCGGAAATCGGAACACAACAATGAAAAGGGTTCAACTTATTGACAACTACCTCAACCGTAGATAGTTTCTACGATATAGGTATGTCTGCGAAATAAAGATAGACTCAATGTCAGCTGCTTGTCCACATAGAAACAAACCATTCGATACAATGCGTAGAGGTAACAAAAATACTTTAACATTTTTCCTTTTGTGTCGTGGGTACGGTTACAAACATACAATTTCAGATACACATGGCACCCAAACCCGGAACGACACTTTGTGGATCATACAAAAAGAAAGAGTTGTTCCGCGACCCGTTGCACGGCAGCCAGTTGCCCAGCCACCGCACCAACCCTGCAGTCACACTTCACTTTAACTGTGAATTAATGATTAGACCACCTACACTTGACTGTAATCACAACATTCTATGAATATATTTTTATGTTATAGACAGACTGATTACCTGATTTTAGCTGAGCACTTGGCCTTTTTGCTCCATGCATACTCTCCATTGAAGTTGTAACTAATTTGCCTGTTATTAATTCTTGCGGTGCAAATAAATAATTTTTCTTTCTTTCTTTCTTTCTTTCTTTCTGATGGTAAGCAATTGGTGCCGCCCATTGACACCCGCAACACCAAAAGAGTCACGAGTGCGTGGCGGCCTTTTGTAGGCTATCAAGGATGTAAGGATAGAAGACTTGAGGATTGAGGATGGGGAGGGAAAGAATTGGGCCTACGGTAATCTCACACACGAGGCGAAACAACGTTAGTGTTCGTGCAGAAGCATGACTCTCCCACACTCTTATATCTGTAGTGTTTCTATTATGTGTAAGTATGTGTGTAGTAAAAATGTGTTTAAATAAATAAATACATTATACTTATATTGTTTATAACATTTAAATTTCTCACCATTTAGTAATATAATCACCCGCAAGCTGAAGTTGTGACGAAAGAAACGACAATGTTTTTTAAACAACCCAACGGATATTTTACTCATATATATCTCCTTTTACTCAACGGATACATGAGATTCCTCCGTGGCTGTCATTGTATAACAACCGTAGGCAAGTAGCGAAACGAAGTAGTTTTAACTGTGCAAGAGCCATGCTTCGGCACAAATGGTTGGTCCACGACCGGGTTGATAGTTGTGGTAGTCGTAGCCAGTGTTGTGTTTCGCCGAGCGAGCGAGGTGAGAAGGCCCAAACCTGAACCTTGAATTCTTAAATTTCCACTTGCACTTGTAACTCCTCTAGTGATGTCGCTATTAGTTGTTGTTTTTAATGAACTCGTTTAATCCCTCCCTTTAAAAGCCTGAACACGTAGGTTCTGCCTGATGACTGACAGGCAGACGGGACTTGATGATTAACGACAACTCTTAAATTTGAATACTGTACATTGTACTGTAATCTATAATATTGAGCAGAAACTAATATGAATGGTAACAAATTTACGTTTTGGCTGGGAAGAGTTATGTTGGTGGCCCGGGCCGGGCCGGTGTCGTGGATAAAGTGAAATAAGGCATGTCAGAGGCTGGTGTGCTGTCATCGTCTTCGCCCGTCGCTTTGCATTCCGGCTCTGTGTCTTTGCAGTGTTGCTAATGGCTAGAATTCAAAAAGTCTACAAAGCCAGCCAATTACCTTTCTTTTGGTCTCTGCTTTAGATAAAAAGCAGATATATAATTACACTAACTTATTTATACTTACTTATATTTACACTTCTAGGCTTTAATTTATTTATTTTTGTGATTCGTCGGCTATCTTATTCTCTAACAGCCGCAGGCGCCCATGGACACCCGCAACAACAAAGGAGTTACGAGTGCATTACCGACCTTTTGGGGATTACGGATTTAGAGAAATTAGGATTGGGGATGGATTGAGGCAGAGAAAGGATTGGGCCTCCGATAACCTCACTCACACGACGAAACACAACGCTGTGATTGTTCCACGCCGGTTTTCTGCGAGGCTGTAGTATCATCCGGTAAGGCAACCCATTCGAAGCATGGCTCTCAGACACTTTAATTAACATTAAACTCATTGAGTTTATTTATTTCCTCTTCATTTTATGGTTTTGTATACATATGAGAAAATTGACTAAAAATGTTCAGCTATTTGCTTGTGCGTTTTTCGTGTCTTTTTAGTTTACATAATGAAAACCGCTGCCACTTCTTCATTTTGACGAGCCCAATTTCATCAAAGGATTTCTCCTACCCTGGGCGTTTCTTCTTTTACTTTGGAGCAGGACCACGGTACTTTGTTATTTTTCTGAGTTATATGTACTTTCTAATATTTTAAAGATATCACTGACATTCGGTGAAGGAAACCTTTGAGAAGAGATCAGGACTACAATTTTTTTTAGAGCTCTAATTGCCAACCCAACGTTTTAACCAAGCGTGGTAATTAATGCTCAAACTACACTTGTGACAACGCTGGACAAAGAGACTGCTTTACAAAAGAGGAATTTACCATAATCCCCAGATGTTATGGATTGTAAGAGAAATTATAAAAATAATATTCGATATTTAATTATTACTCATAGTTCTGCACACACATACGAGATTCATTTAAATGCATCTCGGATCACTGTTTCACTTAACTGTACACACTGCATCGCAGTGAAGTTGGGACAGTAAAAGTGAGATAGCGTTATAGTTCCGCATTATGAATGTAGCTGATATTCCACCAATGTCCGTCCAGGTCAGCACTGTGTCCTAGATGGTTCGAAAATCAATACACGAACTGCATAGAATACATATATAAATTATACCTGTGAGAATTGGCTCCACCCTTTGCCTCTTTTTAATTGAAGAAGGTACTTTAGTTCGTGTATTTGGTATAATATGTTTGAGAGGTACAATGTAGACAAAATAAAACTAACTTTACAAACTGATGCATATTTCTTGATAAAATTTACGATGTTTTCTTTTTTTATGTTATAGGACGGCAAAATAGCAGTCGGATTACCAGATGGTTGGCAATCAGTACCGCCCTTGGGCACCCGCAACAAGGGAGGAGTTACGAGTGCGTTGCCGACCGTTGGAGATTGGGGCTTTGGAGATTTAAGGGGCAGCGAAAGTATTGGTTTTCCAGTAACCTCAATCGCATGAGGAACATAATGCTGTGGCTGTCTCACGCCGGTTTTTCATGAGGCTGTGGTATCACTCCAGTTCAGCCGACCCATTCATTTTTTTATGTATTGTGATAGGTCGGCATACGAGCATTTTTTTAACTGTTGGTAAGCAATCAGCGCTCCCCGTGGACACCCGCAACAACAGAGGAGTTACGAATGCGTTGCCGACCTTTTAGGGATTAGGGATTTGGAGATTTAGGGATTGGGGAAACATGCCACACTCACACTTTTTATATCATAAGTCGGCAAACGAGCATACATATTACCTAGTGGTATGCAATTTGCGCCGCCAATGGACACTAGTAATAGCAAACAAGTCACTATAACATATAAGTGCGTAGCCGGCTTCTCGTGCGTTGTAAAGGATCGAAGGATAGGGGATTTGACAACTAAGGATGGGTAGGGGAAGGATTGATTCTCCTTTAACCTCACTTACACGGCAAAACGCAAAGTAAGTGTTGCTTGACGATAGTTTTTTGTGAAGCCCTGGTATCACTTCAATCGAACCTGCCCATTCGAGCCGAAGCATGACTCTCCCGCACTTAGGTATACAAAATATTTTAGATGTATAAGGTGATTTCTTATTAATTAAGCCATGACCTATATGACTGCTGCTACGATACAATAGAAAACCCTTTTTTTGTCAGGGGATAATCATCAAATTTCTTCGCCCGCCCAACAAACCGCAACCCCGGCTGAACATCAGCCTTATAGGACCCCGCCTGTGGTTGTCTATTGGCTTTTGAGGCGCGCACGGTACGCTACGCGCCGTCCGTTCGGGTCTGGTTTGGCTCTGGCGGCGAGCAATCCTTACTCGCCGTCCGCAGACCTGCGCTTACGGTGGCCGGAGATCATCTCTCGATCCTCGACGCCCGGAATGTCGCCTACTGCAGCGGCTGGGGCGTGAAGAGGACAGTTCCCTCACGCGCTCCACCTCCTCCTCTGTGAGCATCACTACTTCGCAGAAAGAAGAAAGGCTTCCCAGTTCTTCTCGCTACGAACCAAAGACTTTTGTCTGTACAAACGCATAATTTTAAGAATGTTGGTAATCTCGTAACTGGCTAAAGTATAAGACCTATACTACCTATAACCAATACTTCTAAGTACTTTATATAGATAAGCTGTGAGCCTACCGAACCGTATTAAATAAATAAATAAATAGCCTCGATTAAGGCCGGGCGCGAGACGTCGCTGCCGCGGAAGGTGAGAACGCCGTGGCGTCTCTCAAGCCTTTCCCTAGTCTTATATTAAAAAAAAAAAAAAAACAAAAAAAAACTTTTTATACGTTATTTGTATTATACATGTCATAGAAATAAATCAAATTAGTTTTAAAATAATGGAATGTGATTAATCTACTACCACTGAAGATCACACGAGATGCGGTATCCACTACCTTCTTCTTTCAACGAGTAATTTAATATGCGAGAGTCATGCTTTAGCATAGACCGAAATTCAGAGGACAGGCGTGAAATAACGCGTGCTTCGTATCTTATTATACGAGGTCACTAGTGGACAAATAACTAACCGCAAAAGGGCAACTCAAGTTGGCACTTTACTTTCTTTATTGGAAATTCACCTGTAACTCCTCGATATTATGGGGTGACGCTGGCGCTAATTGCTTGCCATTGAAAACTCAATGTACTCACATAAAAATATACTTTTAATAAATTAGGATAACACAATAAAATATTTTTATTTTAATCTTTTTGCTAAATTAACATCCCATTTGATTATCAATGTGGACTATATTTTTTCGTTTCTCATACCCTTTACCCTATTATATTGTATAACTCACAATAAAATCATGTCCTTCAAAATTTGATTCTTTCCCGAATATATAATCTTTAATAGACACTACAAAGCAAAATAAATAAATAAACATATCACTTGCCAAGAATCCGTATTGTGTTTTTCTCAACAAATATCGTCTATTGTCCACACACCGAACATTAAATAATCTAACAATAATAGCACTCGAGTATTGAATACGAAAAGAAAAATAGAACAATATAATAAACATGATGTTATAAATATAATAAACATGATGTTTTTATACCCATAGGTAAGTAAACTGCTTCATTCACAATAATCCTTCCTCTTACTAAAGGACAACAGTCAAATTAATATATTTGTAATGGAAATATAAGTCCTCAACAGATTATGTATCATCATACAATCTTGATTCACAATACAGATGTTGGTCTTTTAGGACTTAGGATCAACACGATGTACCTAGATGAAATAAGATATGTATGTAATGAAGCCCTGACCGCAGATGGGTTAAGTGTGATGTAATACATTGAAGTCATAACTAAATATTCAGGTCTTCACAAAGTTATCTCATATCACATCAAAATCTTTGCAAAAGAATAAGTTTAAAATTGAAGAATAATATTAAGTTATTATTTATTTATACATACAAATACAAATACACAAGATAAAAACGATATTGTTCATTGTTTAAGACAGCGCCGATCGTAGAGGACGAGACTGCACAGAGTAGGCTACGCGTAAACTGACATACAAATATTTGCTGAGAAAATTATAATAGGTAATATCGCATTCACTTTCCTGAAAATGTTATCGGTTTCTCCATAAACTGTCGTATTTCGAATAGGAATTGTTTGAATAAAACACCAACTCAATTTTAAAACATTTTTATCGAAACTTAAACTGAATGTCTCGCGTAGTGAAGATGTGTTTAACATTGTTGGTGATATTAGTTTATTTTGTGATGAAATCGGACGAAAATGGAACGGCAGAGTTATTGCCCTCAACATACGGTGGTCAAGATGTCAAACAGGGCAATTATACATACGTGGTCGCTTTGATAGAAGTATTCAGCGACGATAACAATCAAAATGATACTTTTGGCTTCTGCACAGGCTCGATGATAAAGGAACAGTGGGTGCTGACAGCCGCACATTGCATACACAAGAGATCTCTAGAAGAATTACACGTCTGGTATGGTTACTATAGCTCATCCCCTTTTATAACGAATACGTATACCAAAGTGGTGAAAACTATTGTACATCCGGTATACAAGTCGAGGGTTTTTTCTCTGGATTACGATATAGCTCTACTACTCGTGAAGCCGATTGCCTTGAGGACCTATGGAATCCTGTCAAAACTTGACTTTCAAACAATGAAGAATTTTCCAGTAAATGCTATCAGTGGGAAGAGAACAAACCATCATGGCGATCATTCGATGAGAATGCTGCGTTTCATTGGTATTGTTACTGATTGTGACATGGAATTGATGAAAACGTTAGAATATGCTTTGTGTGTCATGCCTCGACTCATGCAGAAGGGTGTTCGTATATGTTTTGGAGACTCAGGAGGGCCGGTGTTATACGAAGGGAAAATAGTCGGCGTATGTTCTTTTGCACTCGTAAAGAATATAACGATCGGGGTTTACACCCCAGTGAGTCCTTTCTTAAATTGGATTAACGAGGTGATGAGAATGAAAAGTTATAAGGCGAAGAAAAAAAACAAACCGAAATCTCAAATAATTCCTGTACCAGCCCGTAGCATACTCCGTATTTTAGGATTCGAAAATAAAACATCGTCAACAAACAGGACAGCATAACCAAGAATGTTTGCTCCATCATTTAATCATTGGATGTCCTTGTGAAAAATATAAGTAACAAATTTAAAGAGACTGAAATAGCCTGTCATGTTTGCTTTATTTACCTTAAAGGAATGGACAGAGATTCAAGAACCACAAAAAAGTATTTAATTGAAAAGGTTCCCTTTAACTTGTAGGTGGTTTTTATCGAGTAAAATATTCGATTAAATTTGGTATAAAATTAGTGGAGAGTACGTTAGTTAGGACCATCCTGACTAATTCAGGGTGAATGTAAAATCCGCTCCAGTGTAAAATGTCTCGTAGTCATCTTTTAAGTTTCTCTATTTTTTTGGAATTTATAACGTAAGAAATCCAATCAACGTATGGGCTAATAGGAACAAAAGCACCTTGAAAAAAATCGCTTGCATTTACTACAAAAGAGCATACTCCAACAATTTGTTCGTCATGAATCAAAGGTCCGCCAGAGTCACCATACCAAGGAAATTGAAATCTCAGATCACATTTTGGCTTTATACACGCAATATGTTTTGATTTTAACCTTATTTCGACGTCGCAAGAACTTATGGAGCCTTCACCCTTTTTGAGTGGTCTTTGGAAATTTTCATTTGCACCACCAACTGTTTTTGTAGTGCCACCACCTATGTAGATGACTGAATGCCCCAGTAAGCTGTCTCGGTCTAGCGCTGAGAGCCGTGCATAGCTGGCCAATCTGAGTTCTGGTTCAATACGGAACAGGCTCACATCGTTGTCAACTATAAGGTCTGGATGGTTTTTGAAGTTTAACACTCGATAAGATGGATGCAAATTCCATTCGACTACTGGTATGTAGTTTTCGGTATAAAAAGGCGATAGAGAGAAGTTACCGTACCATACGTAGATAGAGTATTCTGGCGTAAAAGTTTCCTTGCAATGCCCGGCCGAGAGGCCCCAATACGGTGTGAGCATGCTTCCTGTACACAAGCGTGACACGAAGAAGGAATTTTTCCGAATCAGAACAATAACATAAGGAAACTCATCTTCTTTAACGTCGGTTCCATGGATCACTCTGATTGCATTTTCGTGTGATGCCGAAATGTGTACTGTACAAAGTATTAGTAAACACAATATTGTTATTTTTCCAAACATGCTAGTACTTTTCTGCATTTAAATATATGAAATAAAAAATATTACTTTTATTTTTTACTGCTGATTATACAGGTCATAAAATAGTTCCTATATGCAGAAAACGTTACACGTTATAGTTAAGTTTATTACAATATGCTAAAAAGATACCTACATGAACAATAATGTACATAAATATTATCAAGTATGAATGTAACATATCAAAAACTGCTCAGTTCTATCCCGGCTACTGCTAAAAATAACATGGCCATTGAAACATACGACACGATGATTTATTAAAATCATACCTCCAGGATAGGCAGCTCAAAGTACAAGTGAATAAAGTGAACTCCAAGGGTGCTAGCATATCCATGGGCGTGCCTATGGGCTCTATTTTAGGTTATTTCCGCTTTTTGGTCTATATAAATGACTTACGAAACTTACGTGAACCGGGAATAGTATTATTTGCTGATGACAAATCGTTGATTAAAAAGAAAATAGACGGACCAAGAATCATGACGAGGTAAATAATGCTATCGCGAAGATTCATAATTTGTTTTCAGTAAATAATTTAGTACTAAACGACAAAAAGACAAAGTGTATACGATTCAGTTTGGCAAATGTAAGGTAACGAATGTGAGATATTATTAAACAGAATGAAATTGGAATTTGTAAAACAAACTACTTTTCTTTGTTGTCTGGAAGGTCTGACAGCTAACAGATGTGGACACTGCAAGACTGGTATACTTCAGCTACTTTCATAGCATTATGTCGTATGGCATTTTGTTGTGGGGAGAGGCTGCTGACAATGAGTCTATCTTTGTCTTGCAAAAGGGTGCCATCAGAGCTATTCACAAATTAAGGCGTCGCGAATCTCTTAGAGAAAAGTTTAGAGAGATCAATATTATGACTGTGCCATCTCAGTTTAATTATGAAAACATTATGTATGTTCTTTATTTACGGAACTTCTCAAATTTAGTAAAATTGTATTAGATGGTCAAACTTGATAAATTTGTAAATATGAGTGCCCTGTAACCTATTACAATTGGTTAGACTTGCAGAATGTCGGTCCTTATGTCAGCTTGGAGTTGTCATGCTCACTCGAAGATCACAGTGGTGGTGGCACGGGCACTGGATCGCTTAATTCCCTATAATATGGTTGATTTAGGCGACGCTGGTGTACGTGTCATGTTCGTGAACTGATGCCGTCAGTTGGGACTGGTCAGCCCCGGACTGTCTATTGTCCTTAAGATTATTTTCTTTTTCTCTTTCTCTGAATAAATATAAGTGTTACACTGTTTTCACATAATTGAACCAACTGTTTGTATAAGGAATCTGTATGTGAAACTGATTTCAAAAGAGTAACCTTGGAGTTTTTTGCTCGTTGTTACCCATTGGAATCTACAATTTGGAATGAGCAAATAGTTCCACTAAAAGGACTGACCGACAGGCTGACACTTTATATCTTTTACTAAGTCTCCGCTGTCCATCCATCTATAGACAGAATGGTACGGATCTAACTGATAGGTAAGAATTACAAATAAAACTTATATTATATTATATTTTACACCGCGTCGCGTCGAGCACGGCACTGTTAAACATTAAGGTTACACACGCGACGGAAACTTACAAAAGGGAGTAACTCCTCCCGTTTTCCCAACATTTCCCTTCACTGCTCTGCTCCTATTATTTTAGCGTAATGAAAAGTATCCCACAACCTGCCCAGGATTATAAACAATAATTGTACCAAGTTTTGTTAAGATCCTTCGAGTAGTTTTTGTTTCTATAAAGAACATACAGGCAGGCAGACAGACAGACAGACAGACAAAAATTTTACTGATTGCATTTTTGGCATCAGTATCGATCACTTATTACCCCCTGGTAGTTATTTTGAAAATATATTTAATGTACAGAATTGACCCCTCTACAGATTTATTATAAGTATAGATTATCGCAATCCCTTGTTTATTTTTAATGTTTTTTTATGATAAAAATAATAACTTCATAGGATAGGAAAAATCTGTTCTTTTTATACATCCACAATAAATAAATTATTTTTAATTCCACTGACAAGTAATAAATAACCAATCAATATGATATCATGAACCCTATGTTAATAATAAATAATAAAAATATTTTTAAGTTTTGGTGTGGTATTTGGTGATCTCTTTACTCTTTAGGGCGCGGATCACTACACATCGTACCCATGGATCTCGTTCTGGTCGGGAGCCGAATTACCCTTGCTCACCGTCCGCATACCCGCGCTTATACATCGATGGCTAAAGATGGTGGCGCGATTCCAGATGCCCGGGAGGATTGCCCCTGAAGCAGGGGAATAAAAAAGAATAAATTAAATTCGTTTATTTGTCTTCCACAATTTTACATCTTTGGTAAGGAATAACTATATAAAATACTAGTTGCTTTCGCGCGGTTTCACCCACTGCTCAGCTCCATTTGATCCTAGCGTGATGTTTTATATTTAGCCTATAGCACTTAGGAACATTGCAGCCATGTTCCAGTGAAAGAATTTGGCAATTCAACCAGCGGTTCCAAAGATTACCTACTACATACAAACACACAACTTACAAATTTTACCTCTTTATAATATTTATAATTTATAGTATAGACAATTGTGGACTCTATTGACAAAAATGTAAACATAACAAATTTTCAAGTGCTTCATGCACCGTAACCCAATACTCAAATCCCTAAGCTCCGAGAACATCAATTCACTTATAACAATTCCATGTGGCAGGTGTCCACAGGCTGCCCCGATTAGTTGCCATTGTATGATGCGTATGCTCATTTACCGACCAATACGGACGAGATTTCCTGCTGATGTGTAAGTACTGTGAAGAACTGAACACAATGTTGGTGTATTAGGTATCCAATTGGCTTTAGTTAATCGCTTCGCTGGTTCGATTCTGCACGACAACTTCTAAACAACGTCGACAACGATGAGGATAACTTCTTGAAAATAAAACAATTCAATGCCAGAAAAGCAGTACCGTCTCCCTGAATTCTCCAAGAAGGGCGGTCAATTAATACGCGAGCACTGCGATAGTCCTAATTTTACATGTAATCGTAATGAGAGTGCATAGCTTAAGTTATGTTAAGAAAAAGCAAGAAAAAATTAAAAATATTATTTGTCATTCGTCTGTCGCATGACGGTGGGTACATTTTGGATACACAAAAGAAGTTTACTAGTTCAGAAGTAAGTAGACTGTAACTGATTATTGTTATTGAACAATAAATGGCAAAGTTAATGGGTCCAGTATATAGGCACGATAAAATCCGATTTATAAATAAAAAAATAGCAGTAAAAACAAAAACATGATTTATTTTTTGTTTAATATAATAATATAAAAACTAGTATGTTTGCAAAAAATAGAATATCAATATTGTTTGTAATAACGCTTAGCAGATTAAGTATGTTGGCGTCACACAACTCATTAAGGATAATTTATGGAGAAGAAATTAAAGAAGAAGAGTTTCCATATGTTGTTGGCCTAAACCTGATGACGATTAAAAAAAATATTTCTATCCGATTATGCACAGGCAGCATGCTCAAGGAAAATTGGGGCATAACCGCAGGGCACTGCATGCCTAGGCCCTTCGTTCGCAAAAAATTCACTACTGCCATCTGGCACAGCAGTATTCCACCAACACAATCGTTAAAATCTCCAGTAGTAGTCGAATGGCATGTGCATCCATCGTATCGTGTTTACGACACAGCCCGCCTACCAGACCTAATAGTTGACAACGATATAAGCCTGTTCCGTAGCGAGCCAGAGATCAAGCTGACCAGGTACGCACGGCTCTCAGCGCTCGACCGAGGCAGCTTACAAGGGCTTCCAATCATCTACATTGGCGGCGGCAGAAACAATACCAAAAAATCACGGAGTTTCAGAAACGACCCATTGAGAAAAGGCTACGGTGTTGTAACTGCGTGCAACGAACTTATGAACACCAAATCAAAACACATTTTGTGTATTAGTCCAAAATGTGAAGATTATTCGCAAAGGCCTTGGTTTGGTGACTCTGGTGGACCGCTGATATATGATGACCAGTTAGTAGGAGTATGCTCTTTTGGAACTCATGAGGGGAGAGTCTCACAAAATGCTTTTGTTGCAATAAGTTCTTATATAAATTGGATTTCTGATATAATGCAGGTCAAATAATAGCAAGCGTGATCCGTGACCTGTCTTTGCGTGTCTAAATGTATTTATAACTCGAGTTTCGGAGTTTACAAGACTTAGCTATTTTTAAAAACTCAAATATGGAAAGAATTTGTTCACTTGTTTACAGAATTGAATTGTATGTGTACGTAAAGATTTTTATTCGTGTGAATGTGTTGATTACAGTTGAGGTTAAAATATTTCAACGTTTGGAGTACATTATAAAAACTTGAACCTTGCCAAATAGAACGTATACTTTCCATTTAATTAGCATCGAATATTCTTAATGGTATACAATTTTCTTTTGTGTGATTTATTTTTAACCAGTAATTTAGCATTGTTTAGAATTATATAATAAAGAATTTTTAAAACATTATTTTTTACTTCTTACAAAGTAGATATCGTGTTTCTTGAGTTTAAAAGTCTAGAAATTACTCAGAAAATTGAAATAACTAACTAACTCATAATAATATGACTACAGATCTTAGTCTAAAAATCTGTGAAACTTTCAGAATTAATATTAAAAGACGTTTCACAAATAGGTAGGTACCTACAAAAGTTTAGTAGAAATTAATGGTTTCGAGTTGATTTCGAAAATTTGATAAACTAAATTAAAGTATAACTGAACTGGGAAGCCGGTTACTCTTTCTGTGAAACAGTGATGCTCGCAGGTGTACGCCGGTGTGGAAGTATTCTCCTCACGCCCCAGCCACCGCAGTAGGAAACTCCAGGCGTTGGTTACAAGAGACATTAGCGCCTTACTTAACTTTCCTTTTTAATAAAAGTGTAGATCAAGGGTTTTCCTAATGAAACGTAGTAAAGTAGTTAGATTACTTAAATCAGGTGATAGTACAGAACCTAATAACTAAAGGCCAGTCTCTGTTGTGCCAGTGCTCAATAAAGTGTTCGAAAGGTTGATGTTTACTCAAATGCATCGTCACTTTAACACGAATTCTATACTCCATGACCAACAATTCGGGTTCACTAAGAGACGTTGCACTTTGGACATCGCATACAAGACAAGTTTTCAACTCATGGGACAAAGCAGGGGATGCTATTGAAATATTTTGTGATCTTTCAAAGGCTATTGACTGTGCTGAGCACGCGACACTATTACTAAATCTAGAACACTACGGCATTCGGGGGGTATCTCTTAATTTATTGAAGTCATACCTTCGAGAAAGACTACTTACAGTACAAGTAAACAGGGTAAACGTACCGCAGGGCTCAATATTAGGTCCATTCCTATTTTTAGTATGAATGATCTGCCCCATTTATTTTAAAATGAACCGCATATGGTTTTACTCGCTGATGACAAATCACTGATTTTTAAATTACGTAGACGAACAAATAATTATGTATAAAAAAGGTTTTATGTAGAAATTAGCTTTTGCCCGCGACTTTGTTAGCGTGGTTTAGTGACTTCCTGCAGATTTTTGGTTTAAAAACTATCTTATGTCCTTTCTCGAGTTCCAAACTATGCCTGTACCAAATTTCACATAAATAGATTCAGTAGTTTAGGCGCGAAGAAAAGACATACAGAAAGACAGAGTTACTTTCGCATTTATAAGATTAGTTTGGATAGGTACTTCGATCAGTTGGGAGTTGTCATGCTCACTCAGGGGTCTCATCGGCGGTGACACGGGCACTGGACCTCTCGATTCCCAATAATATGGTAAAGTTGGGCGGTGCTCGTGTACGTGTCATGTTCGCGAACGGACGCCGCCTACTGGGACTGGTCAATTCGAGACTATCTAAAGTTGCTGTCCTTGAAGTTCATTTTCTTTTCGGATTATTTGGTTAAACATTAGTATTAAACTGTTCTCACATAATAGAACTGACCAAATTATGTAACAAAGAAATGCATTGTAAAACTGATTGAAAAAGAGTAATCATGGAGTTTTTTGCTCGTCCTTCTCCATAGGAATCTACTCTTTGGAACGAGCAAATATCTTGACTAGAGTATAGACGGACAGACTGACACGTGTAAAGTTAAACCGTATGATATATACAAATACATATATTTTTTTGCTTGACGTTCAAAAGTGCTTGTTGTGGTCTACTTGAAATAAAGAATTTGATTTGATTTGATTGGGGTTCGTGCGACGATGTACGGCCAATGAAAGCACCGCGTCGGCAAACCCGACGGTGACGAACCAGACCCAAGCGTAAGCGCATTGCTTCCGTGCGCGCATTAAACGCTCCGCGCCGAACGCTCGGGTCTGGTTTTGGTTCTGCGGCGAGCTACCCTTACTCTCGCGCTTTCGTTGGCCGGAGATCGTGTATCGAATCCCGATGTCCAGAGTGTCGCCTTCTGCGGCGGCTGGGCTGAGGAGGAGGATGGCTCCCTCACGCGGTCTGCTCTCGCTCCGGACTATGTCCTAGACTAAGGCCGGGCGCGATAGGTCGCCACCGCCGATGACTTTCCTGAAGACAGGCATCAGCCAGGGCTGTGGGGCAAGCGCAATATGGTACCGTCGCCTCGTCCTAGAGCAGGAGAAGGAACGTAGTTGTTTTTAGTCAGTAAGAGTCTGACACTCCCTCCCTACCGAACCTGGGCAGAGGAAGTCATTTAAAAAAAATATCAGACAGTGATATGCCTTAAAATTAACTTGGTTCTCTTATGGGAAGGGAATCACAATAGGAACGGAGACGAATAAAGTAAATCAAAATCGAGCCTTCAGTGATTCCCCTCCCCTCTCCTGTCTAGACCGTAAAATAAATCAATAATGTGATCCGTCGTGATCTATGGCTACGTTATATTATGTCCCTTATTGTATGACGAGGTAGGCAGCATTGATAGAAAAGGTAAGCAAGAATATGATTTTAACTCTTCAATTTCCATTTGAAAAAGTAATAACATTTTATAATTTCAATTTAATGCTCTGGTAAATATGTGTTATTTAAAACGAAAAATAAAGCACCCCGATATAAAGATGATAGATGGTTTGGTATTTTTCTTTGCCAATCATAAAAAATAAAAAGTGATATTCATTATTACTTTAATTAAATAAACATCCCCAAAAGGTCGGCAACGCACTTGTAACTCCTCTGTTGTTGCGGGTGTCCATGGGCGACGCTGATTGCTTACCATCAGGTAAGTTGCAGGGAGTGCTCGTTTGCAAACATAAAAAAAAAACAGTTTATAACAGCCAGTATTA